TACGAATCTCAATTTCGCTTTAAGAGTTCAACTTTTAAATATTGCTGAGGCTGTGGGGATCCATATTAATAAGCCTAATTTATGCACTCAAAAGAAGTTAGTTCAGTCATTATCATTACCTTGGCCATCCAGGTTTGAATAATCCGGAATTTTTGTGAAATTTTCCTAATTTTAGTTGACATTCTATTCGCTATTATATCTTTATTATTATTATTATTATAATTTAAGCATCTTTAATGAACTGCAATAGCATTGATCATACTTTACAAATCGATATTATTTAAAAAAACGCTAATATTGTTATTAACTACTAATTTAAAATATTCTGGGTATATAAACATGCATATAGATAATTGTAGAGCTAGAAGAGGAATTTATCGAAAATGATATTCTTTGCTCAATTATTTTGTGTTTTATAGATGTCTGAATGAATATTTTTGCAATATTAATATCGAATTGAGCGATTTGACTGGCTTGTGTGGTATATCTCCATCAAACAGTTTCAGTATTCTAGCTATTATTTCAGAGATATTTTTTATGTATGGTAGGATGAACTTTCGTGTGTTCTTTGAAGATGGTTCCTTGTTGGTGTTGTGATTCGACTTTAAACACTTTTTGATGAAATTTCGGTGGATAACCATTCTTTTTGAAGACCGACCAGCTGAGAGAACACTATTAATTGCAAATCATCTACCTGTGCTACAAATCTTCTCTATTATACATTTTATTATTCGTCATGTGAATCAATCCTCCAGTAAGGATTGTTGTAAGAAAGCCATGGTGGAACAAGACACAAGGGTGATAAGTGTATCTCAAGTGATTACCATTATTATATGTGAAGAACCTTTTGTCCTGTTAATTGCCTCCTGCTGTTAAGACTCTCAGACTTGTGAAGAAATCCCATGCTGAATCGATAAAATCACTGATTGCAGAATCGAAGGATGGAAGGTAGTTCGTCTGCAGAAATGTCGGCAGTGGTTTAAGCATTGTGTGCAGAGTGAAATGCATAAACGTCATCCAAGATTTTCAATACAAAACTTGTCTAGTATTCTCTATGGCAACACAAAATTTGCTACGCACAAAGTTTCGTAGGGAAATAGGCGAATAAAGAATGTAAAATTCCACTGACAAACTGACTGAAAGATTTCGGCATAGAAGTTTGCACAAAATTGCACTGGTTTGAGTTCCCACTCTCCCTCCATGTACCATACAAAGCAAGAGAAGAGAGTGAAGAGAGATTCAAAAGAGAGAGAGCGATAATAAACAGAAATGTGGGTGAGGGAAAAAGAACAGTCATATGGAAAAACATTAGATTTTTACTGGATATGACAGATGACAAGGAGTGGATGTATTTAAGCCATTGAGAACGACGGCTTTGAGCCATATCACAAATTGTCTCTATACTTCCCTTAGTGGCCGGCTGGCTTAAACTAACTGTTATGGATTTCACTGAACGACGAAGCCATGTTTTCGAATCTGATCCATCGTATTTCAGCTAATATTGTCTGTCGAGGAAGGCTATGGCTTGGTGTGCATGTGTAACACATGTCCTAACCATCTCAGTCGATGTAACATGACCACAAACTCGTCGATTGATTTTATTTCTTAACCTAATACTCGACTGATGTCTAACCTCAATATTACTCACCCTGTAAAAATCCAGAAGTAAATAGCGTCAACATGAAACCCATCTTCATTCATCTCGACTTCGGAGGTGGTCGACGGTATCATGAGAATGGTGAATAATGAACGTTTAAGTACGGCATTGACTAGGACGTATCCAGCAGCAAAACTAGTCTCTCTACTGCAAGCATCCTGCTTGTTGGAACAGCCAAAAATCTTCAAGCATTAGTTTGTCATATGTTAACTCCAACTATGTTAGACAATTCACGTGCATAGACGTTGAATACTGAGTGGACGTATTAAGAACATCCAAAATAATTAACAGTGCGTCAGTGGCATAGCGGTTAGGACGCTCGCTGACCATGCACATGATCCGGGGTTCGATCCCAAGCCGACGCACTCCTTTACCTCGCTAAGCCAGAAATAATGCTGGTGAAGAGGAAAGGTTGGGCATGAGGCTAGCAACCCCATCCTGTGAAATAAACACTGCTACAGAAACTTCAGCCCTATGTTCCACTGGGGAACGTGAAGGATAAAAAAATAACTAACAACCCATATCTTCATCGATTTGTTGAGGCTATTGCACTAAAACTGTCACTGGACTTAAATTTCTATGGTAACTCTCACCTTAGTAACTCCTTGTCTAAAATGCTTTTATCATCCTTATGTTTTGTTTAACTATGGCTTTGTTACAGTAATCCTTCTTTTCTGGGGGACTGATTCATGGCGATGAACAAAATGTATGTTAAATGCGCATTATAACTTGTTTTAATAAAGATTACAGATTAGACGCAGCTGACGAGAATCGATGAAACAAAACTGATCGTCTCATTCACTTACCTGGCCAATGCAGCTTCATTTCATGGCCAGGACATGAATTCCAACTTCTGCCAATCCAAGCACTACATAGCTCGACTGGCACTAGCTAATGTCATCGGTGGTGAGCATTTGTCCACATACCCAACCTGCTGTACCCGACTGTCGGTCACAACTTCTCACTAGAACCCAGGCAACTATCTACCTGAATAGGGTCAATCACTAGTGAGTGTCGGTGTGATATTCAGGTGTTCTTTTGCAAGGATTCGATTGGTCACAGGATTTTATCATGAAATGAAATCGGTTAGTAAATCATTGGAAAACCACCAGGGAGTGCTGAAGGGATTTTTCCTCCTGATTTTGGACTCTTCGTCAGTACGCACCCACCGCTAGGCTTCTGACCCAAGACCTTCTGGTTACAAGGTGAGCTCGTGGACCATTTGGCCACTGAGACGCGACACAGTAGCAAGCTCATGGATTCCAACTTTTACCAACTGACTATATACCGCAGATGACACTAGCCATTGTCCTCAGCGAGCATTTGTAACCGAAATGTCCTGAGTTCACACCCTAGTGGTTGGTACGTACTGTTAAAGAGTCCCGAACACTAGGACGAAGCAGTTGTCCAGTACTCCTCGGTTGGTTTTCCAATCGTACCCTCTCTAACCAATATCAGCTCAAGATGAAATTCTGTAACCAATCAAATCAAATCCCTTCAAACCAACGCTGAAATAATGATACTTTTTAAGTGTGAAGCATCTATGATTGATTCTGTTAAATTTTGAAATTTTAATAGAGTTACCTTGTCAAACTATATAAGAATAAAACATGTGCGCTGTGGTAGAGTATAATTCCATTATGGGTAAAATTTGTTTTGATGAAGTCTCACAGTGTTTCTTATACAGTAATGTTTACTGATGACGACGTTTCGAGCACAATTTATTACTGCTCATAATCATATCAAGACAGTACTCACACGACTTCCTAACTTCGTTTAAATAATTCCATTATTTTTCATCGCTTGATTTGATTGGTAGTATTATTTTCCATATTTTCGGTATGAGTGATTAGTCATTCCTATTGCACGTATTGTGTTGGGTGTAGACTCGATGAACCAGGATGCAGTAATCAACCTCTCTCCACCTACCTAGATTACCTTTTAGAATTTTATTCCTATCGTAGCAGATATATTTATGGACAGTTTGGAGAATATGGCTCTTAGTACATTTAATCCTACTCCAAAAATGTGGTGGAGATATGTGGATGACACTTTCACAGTGTTAAAAACAGAACGTATCTCTTGAAACACATTAACTCACTAGTGAAAGGAATAAAATTCACATTTGAAGCCGAAAATGAACAAGGAGAACTAGCTATGAAGTTAGATTGTAAAATAAAACGAATAGAAGAAGGTAAACTGCACACTAGTGTTTATAAAATGATAACACATTCTGCTAATAGATATTTACATCTCTTTAATTCATCTGATCCGTTAATTGTTAAGGCGAGCTTAGTTAAGTGTTTAACAGACCGATCAGTAGCACTAGGTAGTACAAAAAAAGACCTAAATGATGAAATAAAACAGATAGAAGATGCGTTGGTGTTAAATAGCTTTCCCATTAAATTCATTAGGAAGATCAGTAAAGACCAAAAGCGAAATAAAAATAATTATGAAACTAGTAATAATAACATAAATAAGAGTGAATATTAGGCATCTACTATTATACCATATAAGGAAGGGACATCTGAGACCCTACGTAGGATTCTAAATAAAGCAGGAATTAGAGTGGTGGCATTCAAACCTACAAACTCACTCAGGTAGAACAAGCTCTGTAGGCGAAAGGACCCTGCTGACTCAATTAGACAAAATGATATCATTTACAAAATACCTTGCAATGACTGTGAGTTAGGTCAACTACATAGGTCAAACTAGTAGGTCAAGGGTTGTCAGATTGCCTGTCAGAACATAAGAATTTAGCTAAGGTTAAAATGATTGATCCCACCCACGAAGATAAGTAATTAAGAAAAAAGCTCAGCAATCGCACTGCATGCATTAACACACAACCACACAATAGGGTGGGAAAGAGTTAAGATTCTAAGAAGTAATCTATGTAGGTGGAGAGAGGGAGAGATTGATTACGGAATCCTTGTTCATTGAATCTACACCCAACACATGCAATAGGAATGATTCATCACTCATACTGGAAATATAGAAAGTTCTACTATTAATCAAATCGAGCGATGAAAAATAATGGAATTATATAAACGAAGTTAGGAAGTCGTGGGAGTGATGCCTTGATATGATTATGAGCAGTAATAAATTGTGCTCGAGATGTGGTCATGAGTAAACATTACTGTATAACACTGTGAGACTTCATCAAAACAAATTTTACCCATAATGGAATTGTCAAACTATAGTTAAATAGCTATGCGACCAACATTCTACTTTCATGGACATTTTTATTATTTACTCTAAGATCTTATATTATCTTGAAAAGAAGACTCTATTGTCACAATCGCGAATCTTAACTTCTTTTATTTTCTGTTTTAATGTATTGAAGTTGTCATCCAATGAAAGCGGACAGTCATTTCTACTTGAACGTATCAAATTTCTTGAAAATGAATTGGAGAGAGCTCATGAAAATGAAAAACGCGCTATTCGTTCACTACAACAACAATATGAACGAGTCAAACTGCAGGTTAGTTAGAATTACATATATATGAACATATATATGTTGGACGTCAGTGGTTGAGTGTTTGGAATGTTCTCCAGTCCCATTAGGTGATCCGTGTCCCATTCCTAAACTGTATCAAGTCTATGAGACCTACCAAGGCTTCTGTTAGTAAAATTTGGAAAATTCTGAACAATGGTGTTAATAAAAAATGCCAAAGAATCCTTAGAAGTCCAGTACTTGGATCCATCCGTACTCAGTGGAAATTTTGACACATATCTAACTTGTTAATCAATAGAGAACAAGTCACATGTCTGAAAGTTCGAATTCCACATCAATGAAATTATCAATACCAGTAGAAATTAAAGCAAGGATTATGTTCGTTATGACAAAAGTCAACTGCAACCAGAGTCATCAAGAAAGACGTTGAATTAAGCGTCGAAGATCTAACCGATGAAAGCATTGCAATATGTATATATGAGATATTCAGGAGTATGACTGTTTACTGTGATAGCAGGAAGAATAAAATTGGATCAGACGCAAAAATATTAAGCACAAACAGAACTCAAACTGCATCCTCTCACTAGTGACTACTATCCGTGTGATATTTTAATGTTTGCAGCTGAATGGAACACAAATCATGCACACACTCATTGTCAAGGAACTTAGTCCTAAGTTCCAATTGTAACGAAGACGCTTTGAACCGATAATGACTATGTATTTTCTCTACTTTAACTCCAAAAAACCAGTATTCTTTGAACGAGTTTATATTGTTTGGCAATTAAAGCAAGACAAAATACAAGTCTACAAACAAATGTTTAGTACAAATGAAGTTATAAGGTACTTTTATTCGTGTTCTTCTGCTGTCTTTAAACTTGCACGCGATCGAGTCACTTGCGCCAATGGTGACCGAGGTCAATGAACCAACGTTCAATGTTCATATTCCTTGACACTCATCTCTCTTGTTGCTTGTTTTTTCTGGCCATTTGATCTTCAGTATGGAGCGAAGGCAGCTGTTGATGAAAGTCTGCACTCAGTTGGAAATCCTTTCCGTAACACACGCGCATTGCGAGTTTCTGACCCGTATAGAAGCACCGACTTGACAATGGTGTTTAAAATGCGAATCTTGTCCCTTATGCTTAGTGCGGAAGATTTCCAAATTGATTTCACGTTGGTTGATGAAGGCGTATCTTGCCTTTCCGATTCTAACTGACTTTGGCATCTTCATCCGTCCCTCTAGCCTGTAGTTGAAACGGTGCTTCGTGGCCAGATAAGTGAAGGAGACAACCACTGTTAATTTTTTCCCGTTGCTGTTGATTGGTTATCTTCATCACCTCCGCCTTCTATGTGTTCAGTTGCAGTCTTGTTTTCGCTGCAAGCCTCTTCAGCCGGTTTGTTGGTTTTCGCTTGCAAGCCCTCAAATTTGTGTGACATTAGACATATTTCATCTGCCTAATCATCATGTCCAGATCTTTTAGGATATAAAATGCGTGGTCAAACCAAAAGCTTGCATTAATCCATGAATTCTTTGGTAGTTGGTTTGAGTCAACCAGGTAGTTAGATGTAAACTGACTGGGTTAATGACAAGAGACTGTTGATGATAAGGCTCAGATGATTCGCCATGCTGCAAATGCATTCATTCCCTGTGATCTTTTATACCCCATTAACCGCCATGTTTATCCATGTTACTATTCCTTCTGCTTTTATGGTTCTTTTGAATCTATTTCTTCTCTACCTTTGTGTGATACGCGGAGTCTGCCCATTTTAAGTGTGATAATCCAAGCTAAGTTCTACGTTTTGGGCTAGGGTAGTTATGTGCATAAAAGGAATGTGTATACGCTTTAGTATGCCACCTTTCATCTGATTGACTTAAATTTCTAGAATTTTCTTTCTAAACCGACTGTTTCACACCGCTTCGAAAAAAAACTTTCATATAAGATAATCTCATCTGATATATATCTAAGCGTGATAGATAATTATTAAGTGGATGACATTTTCAAGCACAATGTATTGCTTATAATAACCATGTCATTGTATCGCCCATATCAGGAATAATAGCTGAAGCCGTTATGCAAAGATTAGAATTAATAGCTGTACCTATAATTAAACCGAAAATCTGGATATGTTACGTTGATGATACATTTGTAATAATTAAGAGATATGATTTAAAATATACTCATAAATTAATAAACAACATATTTGAAGACATCAAATTCACGACGAGAGAAGAAGAATTAGATAACGAAATCCCATTTTTTACATGTCGTAATCAGGAGAACCAACACAGGAGATTTAGAGACACAAGTATATAGAAAATCAACGCACACACACAGATCAAATACTCAATTATACTAGCAATAATCCAATTACTCACAAACGAAACTGTGTGCAGACATTGTTTAAAAGAGTTCAAACACATTGTAGCACGTCAGAGTTGAAACGAACGGAAGAAACGTACCTACAAACGGTTTTCAAAAAGAATGGTTATCCACAAAATTTCATCAATAAGTGTTCAAAGTCGAATCAAAACACCAACAAGAAACCATCATCAAAGACAACAAGAAAATTCATCCTACCATACATGAGAAATATCTCTGAAATAACAGCTAGAATACTGAAACCGTTTGATATAGATATAGCACACAAGCCTGTCAAATCGCTTAGTTCTATATTATGCAAACCGAAAAATCCAACAGAAAAAGGAGATAAAATTAATACCGTTTACAAAATAAATTGTATGAACGGCAACAGGCATTACATCGGCCAAATTGGGCGTCCCCTTCGAATTAGAATCCAAGAACACAAATCAGCCGTGAAAAGAAACGTTATTTATATTCTTAAGTATCAATGCATATAGACAATGATGGACATCAATTTGATTGGGATAATGTCAAAATCTTAGACAGAGGAAACACCGAAAGTGCAGTCAGGGAATTCCCAGAAGCATGGTACTCAAAACAAATATGCAATTAACAAACACGTTAATATCGATCAAGTATACCAACTAATAAAAAGAAAATCAGGTGACCAGAAAGTTTAAAATCCAAGTCAATAGAAAGTGGTCAATACATTTGTAAAGATGGTTACTGGGAGACGGACGCAATTCTATCACCACTCATGAAGAAGTTTAAATCATTTCACTTAGTGCTAAATATTGCGCTGAAAGGGGATGTTGTCCAGCAGGAGGACGACGAAAGCTTCGCAACTAAACCGACCAGCTCAGAGAACACTATTAATTGCAAATCATTCACCTGAGCTACAAATCTTCTCTATCATGTCATTGTATTCACACGACTCCATGTCTTGCTTGTGTGGCCTCACTTCCTTCAATTTTACATTGAAATGTTTCCATTAATTTCGGATAGGCTCTGCGTCATTTTGATTGCACAAGTGCGGTGTTGATTCAGTGAATAAAGGTTTGATTACTAGTTGATGTCACTTAGAGAGATAAGCATTGAAAAACCAGTTGGGAGTACTGGACAGCTGTTTCTTCTTAGTGCTTGGGATTCTTCATCAGTACGCACCCACCACAAGGGTTTGAAACTAGGACCTTCCGGTTACAAGCTGAGCTCATAGACCATTCAGTCTCTAGGACTCGATTTAATGATTGGCTCACGAATTCCAACTTCTATGAGTTCACGATATATAAATATATGGCGCAACCACCAGGCGCGAGTATCTGAACGGTCTACGAGCTCACCTTGTAACCAGGAATACCAGGGTTCTAAACCCCCTGGTGGGTGTGTACTGATGGAGTGGCCCAAGTTAGGACGAAACAGATGTCTAATACTTCTGGCTTTCAGTGGTAGTTCTCAAACTGATGTCAGTTTGTGATCAATCTTGTGATTAATGAAATCCCTGAAAATGAACGCTTGATTATCAAGGAATAAAGACTCGGTGATTAACTTCTCTCTATGTTTTCACCTAACTGTTTCTCACTTTTCAATAATTTCATTCTTTTGTACAATTAAGTGCAAGTGAATGCATTCCAGTGGTCGAGGTTTCTTCTAGGTCATTTAACTTTGACGCCTCTCAATCATTCTAGGTCTGGCTAAAAGTTTACATTCCGATAACCTAATTGATCCTAGTCTACTAGTTTGACCCATATAATTGACTTTGCCAATGGTCAATACATGATATTTGGTGAATTATATAATTTTTCTTAGTTGGATCTGCCACGTTGTCTAGCTGACAGAGTTTGTCTCTGAGTGAGCGAGTTGGTTGATTTAAATACCGCCTTAATTCTCATCTTATGAAAAATCCTATGACAGTGCTGTCAAGGGTTTGAATTCCTCATAATTTGCATTGTTTTCATTACTGACATTATTTGTTATTTTATTCCTTTACGTTCCCCCTGTGGTACATAGGAGGCTTCAAGCTAGGGGTTTGAAGTTCGGGTAGCAATGGTATTTATTTTTACGGTATGAAGTTGCTAGCCTCATGCCCCACTTTCCGTCTTTACCGGTCTTATTACTGGGTTAGCGAGGTAAGGGAGTGAGTCTGTGGTCGGGGATCGAACCTGGGGCCACATGCGTGGTTGGCGAGCATTCTACCACTGAGTCACAGACGCACACAGGCGGTTAAATCTATTCATGATATTCAGGAATAAAATTTTTGTAAATTTGATCGTAACCAGGAAAGATACAACAGAAGAAATGGTGTTGATTGTACTGACCAGTCAGTTCTTCTATATGTGTAAGAAACTTGACGCCAGTGTCAAGAAAAATATTTCTGATTTCTCGTGACTTTGCTTAGTTTGTCTCCTGTCTTAATCACATAACGAATGTTGGATACAATGCTTCAAAGTTTAAGTTCACAATGGAATATCAACGGTTTTCTGTAAGCGCTAGTATCTCACCTTCCCTCCCCCCCCCCAAACACACACACCATCCTGTTCTCTTTTGTTATTTCTCAGTCTCTGCCACCGTACCCATTGAATGAATTTTCCTCCGGCATGTATTACTAATATTATTGTTATTATGAAATACATGCACTTATGAGAATGATGGAGAAGCCTATTTTTTTGTTGACATATTTCCACGTATTTCTCTGACACCGCCTCTGATCAGATATTAACATCAATTATATGCTGAGTTTCATCACTGTTTGTGTTGTTGTCATTTTTGGTGTGTTTGCTTTTGTCTTTCCATCTCACAGAGTGATCTGCGTGTTTGTTATTGGAATAACAAAAAGGACAGGGGAAGGAAATTGTTAATGGTTTTATCTGTCCACCTGCGAATTATCTAACAGATATTCTATACACCTATCAGGATTGTCAATGTATTAATAATAATAATATTAGTAATAATAATGGTATATCAGGCGAAATACTCCAGTCATCTGTGTATTGATTTCTAGCCATTTTCTATAATTCATTCAGGGAACATAATAAGTGGTGTGGTACTATAAATACTATTTTGCCTCAGTTTTGAACTCTTCGGGGTTTTAAACCGGGACGAAAGCTCACAGACCATTATACCCGAGTGCCTTAGCTTCTTAATGTAAAATGTCAGGCGATATATTTTACTGGAGATCGCTGAGACATAGGAAGACCAGGAGAGATCAGAAGAGAGAATAAGTCCAAGATACTTAATTTCTGATTTAACTCCTATATCATTGTCGTCAACCTCACAACTGTCAAGAGAATCGATGGCTTCTTTTAACTGTCGTTTACATCTTAAGCTGAAATTGACAGGCTTGATGGATCAATAAAACGATCTGTTTATAGAAAACCTACCTGGATAGGACAGTATCCTTATTACAACAGTTTCTACCCTGCTCTGTACAAAATAGCCTTAGTAAGGTGCCTCTTCAGTAGAATACAACGAATATGCACTGAAGACACACTTGGTAAAGAAGAAAGAAAGTTGACACAAACTCTGGTTGATAATAATTATGCAGAAGTTCATTAGGAGATATAAAGTAGTCAGAACACCAAGACCCATTCTCCAACTCGCCCCATAGAAAGACGTGTACATCGAGCTACCCTATATGGGCATCATAGCAGCTTGATAACTAGACAAAGACTGAACGCTGCTGTTAAAAAGACTTTTTACGCAGCTAATATCATAATAATTGAGAATATGAAGCTAACATGTCCATCTAAGCCCTTCGAACATGCGAAAAATGATGTCACATTCCACTGTATTTAACAATTTGAATGTACGTGTGGACACACATACATAGGGAGGACTCATCGATCTCTACTAGTTAGGGTTATATAGCACATTCCTAAATGACTCCAGAAACAAATGGAATCTTCAGAACCCATTAATGGTGAGAACATGAGACCTAGCTACTCTATTGCGAAACATATTATAGAGACAGGACATAAAATTGACGTTAACAGATCTTTTAAACCTATCTATAAAAGTGAAACAATTAGTCCCTTTGATAAATTTGAATAAGGCATTAAGAAGACAAATTTCGCGAGATGATATCATTTCGGAGTTTCTTTACAGCCGCTTTACAACTAACATGGTTAACAATAATAAAATAAAGTTCACGACAATTACTCAGTTATATAAAACAAAAGTACATACTAATGACCAATCATATTTAAGTAGGTCAAGTAGTCAGTTCATGGTGGGCGAAGATTAAAGTCTATTGATTTTTGTACACACAGTTTAGGCTGTATGTGATTAATCCCCAAAGTGCTGCCATCACCTTCAATAACCAACCCTGAATTAGAGTTATGTGAAATAATTGTGAAACAATCATTAACAATATTGATTTTGTGACCTAATTGACATTAATAATTGTTTTGCAATGGATGATGCTGGATTTCAATTCAGATTAATCGCATTGGGATTTTCTGTATGATTTAGTCGCTATTTTGGAACATGTTCGACGATATAGGAACATTCTGTTGGTTCTACCTATATAGGTGTGTGTCACCGCAGCTGCAGGTGAACTTGTAGATACAGTTTGAAGTAGAGTCCACAGAATTTCGTCCTTTAATCGTAGGTACAGGGATCGAAAATGTTCGGCAAGTGAGAGAAAGAGATGTGGTGGCGTAGAATGTGCGTTTGATGGCTGACCGAAGTCTTTGAGCTAACTGTCAGCTGCATAATCTGCTCACCCTTGAATGGTAGGTTAATAAAGATAGCTTTCTTTGGTACCGAAGCTGTCTTTTCGAGATGCCGCCTTTCTTTACTGTGACAAGTGATAAAGTTTTCCGGATACCCATTAGCTAATAAAACTGAATGTGTATGTCGAAACTCATCCATCACTGTGTCACTCGTGCATATTTTTCGGGCCCTTGAGAACAAACATTTCACTACGGAACGTTTATACTGGATAGGAACAAAACTGGTAAAATGAAGATATTGTCCACTCCATATCTGTTTACGAAAGATAGATCTCTGAATCGTACCATCATCTCTCCTGGTCATTGTAATATCGAGGAAACCGAGTTTGTCACTCGATTCGCGTTCGGAAGTCACTCGGATATTTCGATGAATATGATTAAATAGAGTAATAAAGTTTTCAATAGATTTACTATTATTAGCAATAATGAGAGTATCATCTGCATAACGTTTATACAGCAAAAATTCTCCAAGCATACCTTGCATTTGTCTTTCCAATTTCGACATGAACATATCTGCTAACAGGGGCCCAAGAGGGCTACCCATCGCAACACCATCGATTTGTTTGTATGCATTTTCTTGAAAGGTGAATCTAATATTTTCTGTACACATTAAGATGATGTCTCTGATGTAAGTTACAGGAATAGGCAAGTTTATTTCATTGCTTGCGATGTAATCGCAAAGGAAATCAACAGTTTCATTGAGGGAAACATTGGTGAATAAAGATTCTATGTCAATTGAACACATAACCTTATCCTTGATGTTCAAGGTGTCTAGCGTATCTGTTAGATCAAATGAACTTTTTAAAGAATGATTTGATAATGAGTCTCTTACAGGCGTAAGGACTTCTGTAATCCATTTTGCGATTTTGTGGTATGGAGAACTCGACATGTCTAAGATGGGTCTCAGTGGGTTACCAGTTTTGTGGATCTTCGGAAGGCCATAAAGCTGGGGAGTATGCGACCCAATTGCTTTAAGTTGTTTATAAAGTTTTTCATTTATAAAACCATGCATCAGTAAAATCTGAAGCTGACGGTTGATCTGCTTTTCCACAAGCAGCACATTACCAGTGGCATTGTCCACCAGAAATCTATAAAACGTGTTTGGGGCGTATCGTAAAGTTTGTGGAAGCTCTAGCTGGCAATTAGGAAGTTTAAGCCACCTTTATGCCTTCAAAACAACAATTCGTCGTCACACTAAACCTTCCTTGGTAAATTTTGTTTTGATACCATGGCAGATGTACTTTTACCTCTGTTATTTGGATTAGTGGTCTTCTTTGTTATTTTTACTTTCAATACGTCGTTTTAACTTGAGCTAAGTAGTGTATTTTCTCACCTCTGAACTCTTTAATTTCATATATATTCACTCTTGTGACAAGTCTGTGTGTGATCAGATTGTTCGAAATGTGTTGCGCAAATACATACAAAACACGATTCAGATAAATTACGTCTTCTTATTGCTTTGTCTAAATTCATAAAGGGAAATAATTGTTTTAAGTATTTTTTTTGGCGAAGTTTGAAGTTTCCCTGGCAATTGGATTGATTATCCTGGGTGGCCAATCTTCCATCATTTTCGAGGCTTAGGATTGGCTGGTAAGCTAGTCTCGTCACTACATTAGTTGAAAGGCATCTGAATACATGCGAAAAATGGTCTAAAACCATACTCTCCGACCCCCAACACCCCCTCTATTCCCAAGTCTCGCCTTGTATCTCATCAAGTAGAACCAGAAATCAGTATAAAATAATCTATGCTCGTACAACCAAGTACAGGAACTCAACGATACCATACTTGGCCCGTGTTCTAAGCGGAAGAGAGAATGTTAAGCGTGGAACTTATGACTTGCTCTGTTGTTAATAACATAATTTTAGGCTCTTTTATTTCTCTCTTATTTTGTATTCTATAGTGAACACCTCCTTGAACATACCTAGCTACCTAAATTATTAACATTGGCTTACTTTTTTTGTACTTTACTCTATTCCTTCTTTTGTATTTCTCCTGGTTCCGACTGTATTAGCACTATGAGTATTACAAAATTGTCCTGTCATTTACCATCATGTAATTATTAGTTTTGTGGTTGTTTTTTTATTTTTATTTTTCTTTTCGGCAATATTAACTGACAATCTTGGTTGTGAACGCCATTATCACCCTTAAAATTTTGTATTATTTAGGATTACTCACACTACCACCACAAACACTGCATTAGACCTGACAGTAAAAAAACCCTGAAATGTTATTTTATGATTGTTTAGTGTTGTTCAACCTGAATTAACTGATCATCTTGCCGATAAACATTCTTAAATATCATTTCATAACTTCTTGTATGACTATAGCTTTACTGTCACCATGCATAATCATATCATAGCTTCCATTACCCAATACTGAGATGTTATTATGCGCTGTTTATTTTCCTTTCTACTTCTTGGTATTTTTTCGCATTTTTTAAAAATTATTTTGTTTTTCCTGTCTTCTTTTTGCTGTTGGTGTCTTTATATTTATTTTTTTGAAACACTCCTTTTCAATGTTTGATAAAATTAGATGCAAATATTGTAGATATGTGCTGAAAATTCCACACTGTACCACTAGTACTGTTTCTGGAATAAAGCAAATCAATTATTATTATTATAATAGGGAAATAAAAATTTTATATTCAACAATAGCTGATCGAAGTCTGGTGTAGTCTTCCCGGTTTTTTCCCATGTAGTTCATTGGTATCAATTTGATTTGACTGAGCGTTTTGTTTATTTCTCTCTCTAATGTCCTGATGAGTATTTTCCGAGATTTGAAATAATTATCCCTTCTGCTATTGTTTTTCAGTATGAGGATCGCATAAAATCACTAGAAGCAAACAGTTATATGAGATGTACACCCACCTCAATCCCATGTCCCACACAACCGCAAACAGAAAACAATCAAGGCGAGTCAACTACCCAACGAACAATACCTACAACGGTAGCAACAACCAATACCGAATCATCACAAGTTGTCCAAGAAGATTCAACAGGATCAACACGGAAAGATCAGTCAGTTATGATTTCCACCCTTCTCTGTAATCTACGCAATCAAATATGCCATTTAAAAACACAATTAAAACAACGGCAAAAGACAATTGAAGAAATGAAATATCTTGCTGAAATCAACAACAACAGTGATAATCCAATAAAGCAATCTAATCAATTGAACAGGAATTCAAATACCTGTCGATCAAAAGTTTCAATTATAAATAAACGATTCCAGAATCCACGTGTTCATGAGATTAAGTCAAGACAAATAAATGTGATCAATAATGATAAGAAACGATTAAATCATGCACGTGTATGTAAAATTTAATTTTTATTAAATTTCCGTATTTGTTTATTCTTGTTTTGTTGGCAGAGGGTGGGAGAGATGAGAGGCGGGAAGTTTGAATATTTATCTACCCTCTTTTATGGTGATTGCTTTTCATATGTTCAATTGTCAATTGTTCAAATGTTTAGATATTGAACATACTGACAGGAAAGACTATATAATTAAGAATGTTTTAATACTGTGAAAATATTCATTCAGACATCTATTAAACTCGTCGAATTTCCGAACATCACCCTGCCTGGTTAAGCTAAGGTCAAACAAAATCTATTCGCAGCGCTATTCTTTCTCATCTTTTAGATACAGAACACAAGATTGGTGTAAACCAGGCTTTCAGAGTCATTTACTGCATACCTACGAATCTCAATTTTGCCTTAAGATTTCGACTACTAAATATTGCTGAGGCTGTGGGAATCCCTATTAACAAGCCTAATTTATGCACCCAAAAGAAGTTAGTTCAGTCATTATCATTACCTTGGCCATCCAGGTTTGAATAATCCCGAATTATTGTGAAATTTTCCTAATTTTAGTTGATATTCGATTCGCTATTATATCTTTATTATTATTATTTAAGCATCTTTAATGAACTGTGGTAATTCCATTGTGATCTTACTTTACAAATCGATATTATTTGAAAAAACACTAATATTGTTAATAACTACTAATCTAGAATATTCTATGTATGTAAACATATATATGGTTTTAGAGCCGAAAGAGGAATTTATCGAAAAGAATATTCTTCGCTCGATTATTTTGTGTTTTATAGATTTCTGAATGAATATTTTTGCTATATTCTAGAATAGTAGTCAATAACAATATTAGTGTTTTTTAAATAATATCGATTTGTAAAGTATGATCACAGTGGAATTACAGTTTATTAAAGATGCTTAAATTATAATAATAATACTAATTATTATTATATAATAGCGAATAGAATATCAACTAAAATTAGGGAAATTTCACAAAAATTCTGGATTATTCAAACCTGTATGACCAAGGTAAATGATAATGACTTAACTAACTTCTTTTGGGTGCATAAATTAGGCTTATTAATATGTATCCCCACAGCCTAAGCAATATATAGTAGTAGAAGTCTTAAAGCAACACTGCGATTCGTAGGTATGCGGTAAATGACCCTGAAAGCATGATTAACGTCAATCTTGTGTTCTGTATCCACAGGATGAGATAGAATAGCGCTACGAATAGATTTTTTTTGTCCTTTGCTTAACGACGCAGGGTGATGTTCGGAAGTCAGACGAGGAACACGCCTAATTGTACGGCCTATGTAACTGGCTCCACAGGAGCAGTTAAATTGGTATATACACATGAAAGAGGTGAAATTAGGCAGTTTGTCTTTTACTCCCGAACACAAAACAGTATAAACTATTAGGACTGTGGCATAAATTGAATTCAATTTCATTTAATGCGTATTCGAGTGCTTTGAATTTTTCCACATACACTCGTAATTGAAAGCTTATGTACATTTCTAGAATTTAAGATGTCACTTTCAAATGCGTATAAGTCGACAATAAACTGTCACTGATGCAATCAACATGGAACAAGTATTTTTACATTTAGATAACAAAATGTATATGCAGGAACAAAACTGGTGTTGTTCATTCGTCGTGATCGCTTACTGACTACAGACAAAAGTACAAATCGTTAATAAGATGACAGGAAGTATACTGTAAAGCCAATCCAGACGATAGAAAACCGTAATTTTACATAATTCTGATAAGGTGTTGTTCTCCTTCATTCCTACGTTCCCAGTGGAGCTTAGGGCTTCAAGCTAGAGCCTTTTTTGAAGTTTCGGTAGCAGTAGTATTTATTTTTACGAGATGGGTTTGCTAGCCTCAGGCCCAACCTTCTTTCTTTACCAGTTTTATTATTGGCTAAGCGAGGTAAAGGAGTGCGTCGATTGATGGGAATCGAACCCCGAACTACATGAGGCGTGGTTGGCGAGCATTCTACCACTGTGCTACGGACGCTGATAAGGTGTCATTACGACACAAATCTCTACGTCAACTTTATCGACAAATTTGAAAAGGCCTTCGACAGACAGCGTTGACCGAGAAGTAATTTGTAAACTGCTTCAGCAGTACGGCGTGCAGTGTCCAAGTCTTTGAAACAGTGACACATGTCAGGTAGTCCACAACGTATAACTCATTGAAGCCTCTGAAGTGAAGATAGAAGTAAGACAGGAGTGCTTGCTTACTATTGCACATGGTAGAGTGGATTATGCAGCACACCGTGCATAAAGAACAAGATTGGGTTTTTCAACACAAATGTTAAGTTGCTCAGTCAGTCACTTCTTCTATACGGGTCAGAAACTTGCAGGGCGCGTTGCCAAAAGCATTTCCAGCTGACTGCTGCAGACTTCGATCAACAGCTACGTCAGCTGTCATGGTACTGAAGATCAGATCGTCAAAAATTATTAAAATCAAGAAACTCTAGGAACGAACTAATCCATAACAGAAACCACAGCTCAACAATTATGCCGAAGAAAATGGAGATTGACCAGACAGAAGCTGTGCAGACCGTCGCTTGATATCGCATGCCAGGCCCTCTAGTGGAACCCGAGGTGAAACGACGATTTGGTCGCGTGTCCCAGGGTGACACGGAGGACATCATGTGACGAGGAGATGAGAATTTATGGGCAAATGTTAGAGCAGGCTGAGGAGGACTGGAAAGGTTACGATGAAATGTTGATGTGTTACTGAAGTCTTATGGTTCACTTGGAACCACAGGGAATAATAATAAAATAACATAACGATTCAAGTTATTTGGGGGAGGACATAAATGCCTAATGTTATTTACTACTAATCGATGGATATGGGTAGTGGGATACTGCTCACACCCTCCAAACGTGATAAGCTAGGCACATAACAAGTGAAATGGCTGTTTTGTGTGTTTTGAACAGTGTGGTCTGGCCAGGAATCCCTACTGGTTTATGTGAGTAGTATTCAACTACTCATATCAGTCGAATAGAAGTATATAGTATCATACGTTCATGCTTGCTTTCTTGATCGCTGTTTATGGTATCACAATGAGATCAATAATGGATGTGATCTGCGTAATCCTGGCTTCGAAAGGAAACTGCAATCAAATTTCACCTCGAAGTGTGTAATTTGCAAATTTGTCAGTTTTTGAGTCGCTATGGAAGTTGGTTAACGCATAACAGATATGGTATGATAGGATGTGAAATAATGGTTAAATAGCTAAAGGACAGACTGAGAAACGAGGCTATTCTATAATAAATATAGTGGATTTTGGTAAGTGGTAGAAAGATAGATGGTAAAAATAACAGAATGGTAAGTAAAGAAGAAAGGCCAAAAATCCCTCTGCACGCATAAATTAGGCCTCAATCGTCAAATCGACGCTCTTTCTCCCTATCGTAGTAATCTACAATGAATCAGTCAACTTACCACCTCGAAGGCTGCGTTTCAGTTGATGATGTGATATTTATGAATGGGTATTGGATGATTGGAGGCAATTGTCAGAAAGCCCTGCTTCACCTCAGTTTCGTTCTTGTTAGCATTGGACCAGTCGGCAAGGCGTATCTACAGTCTTCAGAGTACTCGTATCCCTTCTAAGATTCTAGCCCATGTCAGCTATTACTGCCGTCAGAGACATTACTGCCGAGTTATTTGGGTAGACGATTCACCTCCTGTGGAATTGTATTGAATACTTTCTTCAGACACTGAGTGGTAAGCCGTTTCATGCACCCAGTCCTCTTTTTTACTGAAGACTGAATTCGACCAATGTACTGTGATGACAAACCATCTAGAATGGTGGCCATACTGTTAACCTGAGTGTGATAGAATTCACTCTGCACCAAACAACAGAGTAGACTCATGGTACAAGTTGCTGCTTAGTGTCCAATCAAAGGATATCAAGGATATGTCGACATCGATAGCATAATAAGATAGTTACCTTGCACCTCCTAATGACAAACTTTCTAGCACACATTCAGAAATCATTTTTACAAAGATCTTCTCTGATCTTAAATGTTTCCTTATGGATAAATAAGGTGAATGGATTTTTGAGTTTTTAAGGTTAGCAAATAAAGTTTTACAGGTGTAAAGATAATGAAACCGGATTTTACTCTCGTCCTGTTGGTTAACTGACATCACATAATATAAAATAAATATAAATCACCAAGTACAACCATTTCACGTAAACCTATGAACATAGCGAATACCCGACGAATAGATTTCCATCAACTCTGTTTTTTACTACACAGCCTCGGGGCAGTAGAATGTTATTCAATATTCATTGTGTACATTTGACAAAGTGCAGGGGGGGGACTGATTATTAAATTACTTACACTTTTAGCAATCTTAAACCTCGCTTAATTTACTACCTTGCTAGTTTTCTAGCCGAACTCAAATCCGCGTTAAGAGGGAGAGTTGGGCGTGGGACTAGCGACCCTACACCACAAAACCATTGAAACTGCTACAGAAGCTTCAACATACAATAAAATTATTAAAAATACAAAAAAACTTAGTATTCGCTGGAATTGGTTAGGTGAAATGACACAGTGGGCTGGTGAAAGCCTTCAGGAAGCCAGTCAGCCGACTGATGTGTCTTCTATCGATGAAAGCAAAAATAAGAATGAGAACATGGGAACAGTAAGCCATACAACAGGAAACTCAGAGAGGCATTCAAAGTGGGAACATGAGTAAGACAATGCTTCCTGCCTATTACCACAGATGGTATTCTTAATTTTAATGGACTGACTGGTTTCAACATAGAACTTTGCACCACTAAGCAGCAGCTTGAGTTGCCACTCTGCTTCCATGTAGCACACAAAGCAAATGAAGAAAGTAAAAGTAAATGCAAAATAGAGATAACAAACACAGATATGAGGCAAAAAGATATATCAAATAAACAAACTAATATGGAATTACTTACTACCACAGTGCCCAAGTTTTACACATATATTAATGTAATCTAACTGATCTTATTGGCTCACTGTTATTTAA